TAAAAAAAAATAAATAATATATATATATATATATATATATATATATATATCTTTAAAAGAATGATATATTTTGACTTACGTTTATTTGACGCGTATTATAATTGTAGTATACAAATGCTGGTAATCCATTGGCGCATTATGATCAAACTGCGACGGAGCTTTGGGAACAATGCGATGGCAAGATAGATGTAGCAGTGATTGGCGCCGGTACTGGAGGAACGGTGTCCGGAATCGGAAGAAAATTGAAGGAATTATCGCCTAGCACAAAGATTATCGGCGTAGATCCTGTAGGCAGCATTTTGGCACAGCCATCTGAGTTAAATGGGAACGGTGTTGGTTTCTACGAAATTGAAGGCATCGGGTATGACTTCGTACCTACAGTTCTAGATCACAATGTGGTTGATGAGTGGATGAAGACTGAGGACTACGAGTCGCTAAAAGTGGCACGAGAATTGATTCGCAAAGAAGGATTGTTGTGCGGTGCTAGCAGTGGGTCAGCTCTGTCGGCGGCGTTAAAAATCGCCAAAGACTTATCTGCGGATAAACGTATGGTTGTTCTCTTGCCGGACAGCATACGAAATTATTTGACAAAATTTGTATCAGATCAATGGATGGAAGCTCGAGATTTTTTGGTAAAATTGTTTGTGTATCTAAGATATCGTAAATTTATATTATTACAAATATATTGCGTATTTATTAAATTTTAACTCTCTTTAGCCTTCCGAGCCTATAATAGAAGAAAATAAATGGTGGTGGAATATACCAGTATCAAAATTACCATTAAAGAAGATGATATTATTAAAAGGGATGTCATGTGAAAATCTTATGGAACTTCTCAAAACTTCTAATCACATTCGGCAATTGTTGGTAACTGACGAGAAAGACATATGTGTTAAAGGTGTTGTCACATCAGATGCGCTTTTATCTAATTTAATCTCCGGTACTGTAAAACCAAAGGATTGTGCCGAGAAAATTATGACTAAGCAGTTTACGAAAATTACATCCTCAACTAAACTCGGCAAATTGTCACGTATCCTTGAAAAAGAATCTTACGCCGTGGTTGTAAACGATAATGCTTTAATCGGACTTGTAACGCAAAATGATATTTACGATTTTATCACTAAAAATAATAAAAATATTCAATAATGGATATAAAACATTATCATGTGATTAAACAAGATTACACTATATATGTACTTAAATAATTAAGAAGGCTAAGTACATCACAGGTTTTCTTGCTTTATAATTTTGTATTTGATACTACTCATGAATTTGTATTTAAATTTTATGATATCTTGATATCTTGATATCACTTGATATCTGCATAAGAAAAAAAAAATATAAAATTTGTATCATTTATAAATTTTTAGCATTTAGCAAGCAAGCTTCATTTTCGATTTTTATAATTTTACAAATAATGAAAATGTAAAAAGATATAGATAAATGAAATAAAAAATGGAAAGTACAAAATTGTAAAAACATATATAATAGATATATGATCAAATTTCTCTAACGAAAACTTCTTCAAATTTTTATATATTTATTTCCTAAAGAAAATCTCAACAACTTGAAATATATCAAAAGAGAATTTTTGCATCAATATTTCTTTTTCTATTATAAACAACACAACAAGTAAACTTTCTGCTTATTCAATGTATTCTTTAAAAATTTATAATTTTTTTTGTAATTGCCAAATAACATTGAATTCACTATAATAGGCCAAGAATATGTTTGAATAACTGATAATAATAACAACGAGTTATCTTATTAGACAAGATCTTAGATATTTAATAATCTATTTCTTTTTTTAATTTTTTATATAAATTCAAAATAAAAAATGCTTATATCATCAACTATGTGCCATTATTTAACAGATTTACAATATAGCAACTTAAAATCAAAGCTAAATTTTTCTCTTTAACTTTCTTCTTTATAAAGATTAAAGATTTATTAAAGATTAAAGATGTTTAAAAATTATAATTAAATTGTGTCTAAATCTCTATAAAATTTTTTTATATCTCTATAATTCAAAAAACTCATAAGTCAAAAATCTTTATAATTCAAAATATCTATTTTCTTAATATTTGAATTAGAGTAATTTCAACTGTATATTAATTTCTCATTTTAAAATATCCCAGAAAATGCTTCTCATTTTAAAATATTCCAGGAATTGCTTCGTATGAAGTATATAACAATTATTACATAAGATCAGAAATATCTGGGAATATTAATGATTTATTTTCTTTAATTAAATACAATAAAAAAAAAATTATATATATATATATATATATATATATATATATGATATAT